TATATAATAAGGACGATCTCTAGAAATTACTTACCTCAATTATTAACATCTAAAATCAAGATCACTGTGTAATCTGTAACAACTATTTTATCTGAAAACGGATATTCAAACAGCATCACAGATTATCACAATTTCTATTATTATCGAACATTCAATAGATAATGATTCAAATATACCTGCAAGACCAATAAAATGTACACTACCAATATTGCTAGCAAATATCGATGCACCAACCTAAAATGTAAATCATGTAGTTTTGATCGTGATATGAAAATCAGTCATTTCTTACTGGTAAAAATGTCATAGTTCGACCTGCGAGAAAATAACCTCCTGAAAAACCCAATGAATTAAAGATAAGAATAAGAGTTAATAAAATTCAATGCATACCAATACTACCACGATTTTTGCATGACGACTAAAATATAATGATCGATTTCATTTGTAACATCAATGAAATTATTTACTTTAGTTTTACTATTTTAAGTTTCTGATGATAATTTATTATGTATAAACTGTAGTTTTATCATCATTCAGCCCATAGTTTATTTCAAGAATAGAAAGCTATCATTTTTGTTTTGATTTGTTCGAAAGGCATTGACAAGAAGTAATTGTATTGATAAAAAAGATAGGGTAGACTCGATCTTAGGCGAGAGAAGGGCAGTGTTAAGAATATGATGTCTTATTGATAAAGAAAACTTTTTTATTCGTCTAACTCCAGTCGAAAATTTCTCGTCGAATTTCTTAAATGTGACTAGTTGTGCTTTTAATTAGTATCGTACTTTTGAATTTAGGCTCATTTCAAAGAAAATATCTTCAATTGTAGAGCGAAGCCTTTTGAGATATTTAACAATATAAACAATCTATTTGTTTTCATCGGTCATTGTCGCAATATGAGTATATCTATGAGCATTCTTAAGCATCTACGCTATAAATTTCGTTTTTATGGAACGAGCTTAAAGTTTTTTTTTTCATAAGTGGCATATACAGGACTATCCTACCTTACTTACAAGATAGGATACAGTAGAAGTAAGGGACTAATAACTTAAAGCAACGCAAGAATAAAAGAATCAATGAAATTATGATGACCGAGATATGATTCTATTCGGTTTTTCAATCATTTACAAATGATGATAGAGCTATGATGATTTTTAAACGACGAATTTCGTGTGTCATTATTTGGACAAATCGGAAACAAGAAGCTGTTGCACTAAAGATAATAAGATTAAATTGATATGACATATAGCTAGATCAGCAATTGTTATATTAGATAGATCACATAAGAGGAAAGAAACGTTCAGTGCAACTGAACGAATTCGTGAAGAACGGCGACAAAGTTTCATCAATCACATGGTAATGATATGATGTTCATCATAAGTTTTAAAAAAAATGAGTCTTTCAGTTAGACTATGATGAAAAGAACGTGGAAATAGGCTTCCTAGGATAGGACAAGAGCTAGAAATTTTTTTTTCACACCAGCTATACAGTTTGGTTAAAGCTCACGCTGCAGATCTCCAATGTAGAACTGAAATATGACATGAATCAATTTTATCATTGAATTAAACAGTATTGAACTATACAAACTATACTTTACATGATATTATGTTATATATTAGAAAACCTTTGCTGTGTAAGATAGACATAGAACATCATAAAATATACTATTTATAAATAGTTTAAATCAGTTCGAAATTTTTGGTTCCAATGAACAAAACGTTTTCGATTCAATTATATGCGCTATTTATTTTCATAGTACAAGGATGTGTGAACTTACCCAGATACCAAATCCTATGACTATTGCGAAATATGCAGCTAAGACTAATATATCAGCCCAATGTAGAGCGACGCTGGTGATTCCGGTTGCCATATTGACTCTTGATGAATTTTACGTCTGATGTACAATATAGATCTTGTGTTTTATATACCTTTTACTGTCAAATAATATGTCAATAGTTTTTGCGATCATAACGTTTATAACACATAAAAAAGTTATTGAAATAGATACTTACATGTTTAGCTTGTTCTTTATTCTATTTGTCAAGCCATGTTCTTATTCTAATCCTTTTATTTTTATTGATAGATAAAGATTAATTGCTTTATATGTTATACAAAGAGGCACAATAAAATCATGTCCACATATATTCCTATTCAACTTTAATCAACTATTTCGTACTTGAGATTTTCATGTGTTGATATGCTAAATGTGCCAACAGAAGACTTATGATCTAGAGATCATTATCGAACACATCTTATGTTTTCTTGAATAATATAATGACGTTCAGTTAAATTTTGAATTTCATTTCGAGCACGTTCTCGAAGATCTTTTTATACGAGTTATTATATCCAGGTATAAAGAAAAACAATTGTAAATATTGACAGAAATTACTGAAACACTAAATCATGGGCTAATGATTATTGATAACATGGAATGATGTCTCATTAAATCGTTAATATATGTTTTAGGATCTGTAAGAGGGTAGGATAGTTAAGTCTTCAGTATAATATTATATACTCAAATATTTGAAATACACTTCAACCTATGTCACAGTGAAATGGAACAAAAGAAATTCAAAATAGTTAAATAATTTCAAACTTTTTCAACTCCATCATAATCATATTTCGATTCTATTCTTCATAAAATAAAAAAACATCTCTAAAATGTCTAATCTTTGATGAGGAAATACATCCAACTGTTCAGTACCACTCAATTTCATTTTATAACCATGAGTAGATTTCGGTCACACCGTGTCCGAAATCTACTCATGTTCATAATAAATATATCCTCTTGTAATAGAGTGTGAGTGTGTGGGTGTGGTTCATCTGTTCATGTTCACCCACACCCACACCATTCTTACGAAAGCACGAAATTATGACAGAC